CAAAGTGGATTCAAATCCACAAGCAACTTAATGAAAAGGGCACCGTGGATGAGGAATAAGTGTGAGGGACAGATATGAAGCTCAGCATGTGAAGAAAACAATTTGAGTGGCTTTCTTTGCGTCTGTTACTCTTCCTGTTCAGAAAAATGCTTGTTTTATTTCAAGTTTTAAAAAAATCATTTGTCATGAATTTGGTTTTGTTTCTATTTAGTCTGTGCACATAAGGAATTCCAGAGTTGTGTGATGAAGGAAATTTTGAAAACCTCTGAGATTGAGGTTATTGGCCCTGTTATTCCATTGTGGGGCAGGGCATTAGGAAACAAAAGGCAGGGTGACCAAAGGGGTTTAAATCTATTTACAACCTAGCTACAGTGTATCCTGTTTTCTCCCTGCTGTGCTGGACTGAGCATCTAACAGAAGACCCTCCCACACATCTGAAAATAAAGTGAGGTTCTGAGGACAGTGTCTGTGAGAAATTGACACAGTATGTTTCTATTTTACTTTTGTCAAAGGTGCATAATGTTTTCCAGGTTTTTCCTCTCTTCTCCATTCTTTAAAGAAGCGAGAGGAAAGACACTGGTGCTGAAAAGGTGGGGGGTTGGTTCTGGCCAAGAGCCCAGGATTGTCTTTCTGGCCTCAGAAAGGCATGTGAAGATGGTTTGAGTTTTAAATCATGTTAGGGGGAAGAAAGTTTTGTTCTGGAGTCTGACATCATGGTCCTCTGTGGCCTTCCACCTCCACCTCAAATAACTGCACTAAGTTGATGTTGGAAAAAGTTGCTTTTGAATGTTTATTCAGATCACTTATTTTGAAACACCTCAATATGGTGAAAGAATAAAGCAGGGTCATCCTGCTTCTGCCATCTCCATGTATAGCTCATCCCACAGGAATGAGAACAAAGGGTGACTTCCTTGGCCACTTTCAGGAATATGCAAGGTAGGGACTTCCCTTGTGGCGCACTGGATAAGAATCCGCCTGCCAGTGTAAAGGACACGGGTTCGATCCCTGGTCCAGGAAGATCGCACATGCCCTGGAGCAACTAAGCCCATGTGCCACAACTCCTGAGCCTGCACTCTAGAGCCCACGAGCCACAACTACTGAGCCTGCGTGCCACAACTACTGAAGCCCATGCGCCTAGAGCCTGTGCTCTGCAACAAGAGAAGCCACCACAACGAGAAGCCCACCCGCGCACCACAACGAAGAGTGGCCCCCGCTCACTGCAACTAGAGAAAGCCCGTGTGCAGCAACAAAGACCCAACACAGCAAAAAAAAAAA